GACTGAATTAAATTTGAGAACTTTACTTATCGGGCTACCTAAAAAGTTTCAATTTGTTACTCTAAAGTATAAAATCATGAAGAACTTGGTTCTCAGCTTGACAAAAATATTTAAGTATTTGAGTCAGAGCAGTATTTAAAAGGCAGCAGGATCTTTTTAGTAATTAAATTGCAATAACAGATTGTGAAATTTTTCTTTCAATTTGAGTCGTCCCACTAGTCTTCATTTGGTGTCAATTTAGTTGTTGACAAAACTATAAAGGGGTACAAAATTCTCAAATCTTCCAAGAATCTGTTACAAATAGATCCAGCCGAATCTCAACTGAACAGTTTTTGTGGTTGCTTTTTTATAATTTTCAATGTCATCCTTTCAGTAAGAATCCCACATACTTCCTGGAGTGGATATAATCTTAATTGTTGTTTTTTGAGCAACCATTGATTTTTAAAATCCAGTATCTTCATCATTCACTTGTACAAAATGTACTTATGTTGATTTATGTGGTAATTTCATCTCGTGGAGTGATTTCTGTTTATTTTCATACATGATGTAATTAGCAAAATAATAACAAAAGAAAATGAAAGGACAAATCTTCAAGCCAGGGTTGCTGGACTTCGTTAAAAGCCTTCCCCAGGGGCTGGGGTAGTGGCTCAGCGGTAAAGTGCTTGCCTAGCACGTGTGAGGCCCTGGGTTCGATCCTCAGTACCACATATAAATAAAATGAACATGAAAAAAAATAACCATCATYCCATTTTCCATTTACATGTTTGATGTCTTCTTTTCCTGTCACTGAAATGTGAGCCGAGGACAAGAACAATGACTAGCATATAGTAGATGTTCAATACATTTTTTATTCAGTGAGTGAAGATTTTTATCCTGGCTAATTCAAGATGGGAAATCATCCAAATGTATCCAAAAAATGGGGAAAGTTTGAAGAGTCACATCTATGCAATAGGGTTGTGTTAGTGACTAAATTTCAAAATTGGATCACAAGGAATGGGGGATTTGAAAGCTTTTGCATAGGCACCTCCAGGTCTGTGGGACGAGACCACCATCCTTCCAAACACTCTTCCCTTCTCCTGGGAAGAAGGGCTATATAATTGCTTACCTGTTCTGAAAAGGCAAGAGGCAGTAGGGCATGGGTTGCCTGAGGGAAGGACAGTTCATTTCCTCTGGCTGAGCAGGGAATTTCTCCCAGATCTGCTTAGTACCTATTGTTCTAGGGAAGGAAACATCTCACTTGCATAAGGGGCCCTGGGGCCTTCTGACCAGAGTGACCAAGATTCCTTCTAACAACTTATCCCTGAAAGTCAGTTAAACTACTCTTCTGGAGTAGATTGGGAAGGCCCTAAAGTCACCATTAGGATCAGGCAGAGGGTCTTTTAGAATAAAATTACCTTGAAGGAAGGGAGAGATGGAGCTGGTGGTTAGTTGTACTGTGAGCCAAAAAGGAGAAATGGTGTCAGCAATCATCCTGGTCCAGGAGCAGGGAGATGAGTCTAACCCAGGAGAATACCTCAGAAGATAGGAGTATGTTGGGGAGGTAACCCTAGGAGTACTGACTTTGCGATGGCCTTGGTCAATATGACAGCTCACTCATAGGCTCAGTCTAACTCTGTGCAGTAGCTAGACTCAGGTTACAATTTCTATGATGCTATGAAGATTGGATTTCCTTCCCTGGGTCCTGGATAATGAACAGGACTCAACTCCACCCCAGAAGCACCCATCTCTATCCCAGTCATCAGCAGACACTCATGGAGCTAGAGAAGGAAGCTAGACTGGACTTCCTGCCAATCTTAGCAAAAGGAGATTCAAGTTCCGCACTTTTGGATCCTCTGAGCTGGAGTGTAGTACATTACACTGTAAAGCCAGAGATCCTCATCATGTGCTGCACTGGGTTGAAGAGTGTGCACAAAATATTCACGTCCACCTGGAACTTCAGAACGTGAATAGAATGTTTGCAGATGTAATTAATTGAGATGAGTTCAAACTGGACTGCAAGGATGGGGATGGGCTAAAATCCAATAATTGGTGTCCTTATAGGTCCTGTGAACAGACAGAGGGGGGGGGGGATACACAGGATGAAGGCCATGTGAAGAAAGAGGCAGAGAATGGAGTTCTGCTGCCATGATCCAAGGATCACCGAGAAAGGCCAAGAGCTACAAGAAGTGGAAAGAGTCAAGGAAGAATCCTTCCTTAGAACTTTCAGAGGGAAGGCTTCAGGCTTCTGACCCCAAGAATTATGACCAGCTTGTGGTATTTTGTTGTAACATCTCTAGGAAGCTAACACACATGCACCTATAGACCTTAATGTTGAAAACTAGATATGTAGAATGAATACATAGATAGATATGTATGAAAATAGATATGTATGAATAAACACATACATTTTTATTCACTGAATTTGCAGAAAAGTGGCATATTACAGTCACTACAGGAACATGTATAAGATGTTCATGGTGCTTTTTTAAAAAAATATTTATTCTTAAGTTTTAGATGGACACAGTATCCTTATTTTACATTTATGAGGTACAGTGCCTCGTGCATGCTAGGCAAGTGCTCTACCACTGAGCCACAACCCCAGCCCAATGGTGCTTATTTTTAATGGTAGGCTATTGAATGGCTTTCTTTTTTTTTCTTCCAAATTTTTCTAATGAGCAATTATTACTTTAATAATCAGATCCAAATTAAGCATTCACCTAATCAATGCTTCTGACAGATCAATACCCAAATCTGTGAATCCCATGGCTTTCATTCCCATTTGAAAAAATACTTCTATGTGTATTTAACCTGTATTGCCCACCAAAAGTATTTGTCTTTAGTTTTTTAATGTCTTTGCTTAGTTTTCTGTTAAAAGATAATCCTCACCAAGTTAAAATACTTTCAAGTTTGCCTCGGTTTCATGGGGTTTCTGAATATTTCTCAGTTCTCCCTTTCAACCATGCCAGTGTTGAAAAACAGTTGGTGGTTCTCGTCTCCTTAGGAATAAATAAAAGCATCCTGATAATGGCATCAAGCAGCCCTTACTATGCACCTAGCCCTCTTTCAAGTGTGCTGCTTATGTTGACCTGTGCTAGGAACCTCCTACAGCTCCAAAATGCCCACTGGGGATGATCCATGAAGTGGTAAACCTGCCTATGAGGTCCTGTTACTACCTATTTTACAAATGAAGAAACAAAGGCACAGAAAAATCAAGAACTTGCCCAAAAGATCCAGTGCAGGGATTTGAACCCAGCCTTCAAACTCCATACCCCAAAGATCCTGTACCGTTCTGCCCTGCCCCAGTAGGAGAATATGGGAAAGTTCATATAAATATGAAGTATAACTTTTTCATTAATTTTTTTAGGTGTTTATTTAAAATCTACATTATATCCTACAAATAAATGTGATAAAGAGTAAAGGAAGTTTAAAGGGCTCCCCTACATTCCTAAGAAGTGAGGGTGGAATTGCTCGTGTATAACTGGTCAACCATTAGGCAAGGTCACGGTCAGAAAATCAAAAGCCTGCAGACTGACATGGTGCACAAATCAAGGATGCCTGACTTAGAAACCTCATCCCCTTCCATTCCCCTGAGGCTCAAGTCCAGATGTCCTCACAGACGCCGAGACCCTGCCCACCTTCCCGGTTCTGTGGGCTTTCTTTGTGCTTCTGGTACATTTCATCCTTTCTGACACTTCAGGGCCTTTCCTGCACTTGCTGTTCCCTCTTCAAAAGCCCTCCCTTCCCCACTGCCTTTGCCAAAGAAGCTCAAATAAAATCCCACTTCCTTAGTGAGGTTTCTTTTGACCCTCGCCCCCACCTCGGGGAACGCGGTGGTTAGATCCTGCTCCACTTTTCATAATAGTCCAGGCTCTGAGGCCTCATCAGTCTTCACGATGCTTTAGGGCAAGTATCTAGCTCGCCTAAAGCTGTCTCTGTAGCTTCCATCACAAAGTCATCTGGAAATGTCTGTTGACTGAATTCCTGACCAAGGGAAATGAAGACTCACTCTCTTCTGGGTACACATATGCTTTGGGCTTAAGTTTTACCATGAACAAAAGCAATTGACAAGAGCACACAAATCAAAGCACAAAGTTAACAAAATGGTGTAAACCATATGGATGAAGCTATACTACATAGTCACCTAGTTAAAAACAAAAGTTTATTCTAATTATTTATCTTTCAAGGGAATCAGTAATTTCTTGAAGTGACTGAATTACAAGACATGGCTTGGAGTTGACAGTCCCTTTTAGAAGGCCAGGGTGTGAGCTGTAATCTGTTTCTATTCAGAGGAGGAGGCCGTGCTTCCGCTGGGACAAGAACACATGGGATAGCTACACAGCCAGGCTGACTGTGGTCATTGCACATACACACATCTTGGATCTCCCAAACCATATTAGATGAGTGACCAGGTCAACTCACTCACAAAGCTGGAGTGGCTGCCACACCAGACAAGCCACTGTTCCCTAGGAATGGAAGGAGGGCATCTTCTGGTGGATTTGCTATTGTTGCTTTGTTGTTGAGACTGAGGAACAATTGAGTCATTTGTTGCAGCTAAGATGAAACGATTCATAAGTGCTGATTTTAGTCTCAGTGTTTGAAAGACCTGTTGAATTTTCCCCACTAGAGGCCACAGAGGTACCAAGGAGGCCACACAGGGGCCTGACAAAGTTTGCACCTTGCAACTGCCCTCTAGCCCTCAATTTGTCTGCCTACCTTTATCCACAGTAGTGCATGCACACTGCAGTTTCACTTCTTTCTTCGTTCTGCTGAGATAATTGCACATTTGGGGAAGGGCATCTAAAACACCAGCAAGAAAACAAGAAAAGAGAAAGGCAATTCCTTAGGGTCCAGCTATTAATTTACGTCTGTATTCTGGGATACTTTCCCTGGGGCTCCTTGTTTTCTGTATTTACTCCTCAGGGTTGGAGTAATTGCATTTCTGATTTCTCTGATATGGGTGGCCAGAATTGGCTTAGTGGAACTATTTTAATACCTCAAAGGATTCTTTTCTTCTGCCACGTTGGTTTTCTTTGTGTTGTTCATCCCTACTGCCCTTCTGTAAGCTCTTTGTCCCCGCCCTTTTTCAAATTGTCCGCTGTTTGCACACAGTTTTCTTTCCACACTGAGAATTGTTTGCTGAGAAGTCTCTGTTCTGCAAGCAAATGGGAAAGAGGCTGGCTGGGTGGAACTGAGTCTTCTCTGGGTCTGAGTGAACTTGGCGACAGCTTGAGTTATAAATTAATTTCTGGGTATCTTGCAGTACACCAGAACTGTGGAGGTACACACCATACCACATGTAGAGGTTTCCACAAAGCTGTGATTAAATCTCGAAAAACTACCCCTCTTTCGGGGATCCCCTCTGTGTGACTCACTTGCTGTCCTTTTGGTGGAATTATTGGTTTTAAATGAGAAATAATTATTTTTTTTTAGGGTAGATTTTCCAAAGTAGCAGTTTAACTGTGGTTGTTATCCTTCCTTAAAGGGACTTTCTTATTTGGGAAAGAGAAAGAAAAAAGGGGAATTCCACTAAAAAAAAAAAAAAAAAAAAAGTAGTCAAAGGAGAAAAGTGAGTTTGAAACACACTCACCAAAATTTAGAAGTAGGTACTACAATATCAACAAATCTCAATGCCATTTTAGATACTGGAGCATGATCATTGATTAATCTCTCTGGTTGCTTTGTCTGTGCCTATCTTTGAACACTGGTTCTATGGGAACAGTTGTCAAGGAAACCCGTATGTTGCGGCTCTTCTACGAGTTCACTCAGCGGGTCCCTGACTCTGCAGCATGGCTGTGTCGTGGGTTTTTTTTTTTTTATATATAGCTTATTAGAGTCTTATCTTGATTAATATGAATAATCATCAGAGTCACTTGGTGACTTGTACATTTTTACATGTACATATTATACATATTATACATATATATATATATATATACACACACACACACATATATATACACTATACACACACACACACATACACATACACATACACATACATATATCTTGTGAGGAGGCATTGAAAAAAGTGAGGCTGTCATTTTGTTTAGCAGCTGGGTTTAAATTGATGTGCCTTCTAACAAAATTCACTAGTATTGTGTACAAATCACCACCCTCAAAGACTTTTATGAATGCCTTTAAAATAATGACCTAACAAAAGTATGAGTCATGGGCTGGGATTGTGGCTCAGCGGTAGAGCGCTCGCCTAGCACCGGCGCAGGACCTGGGTTCGATTCTCAGCACCACATAAAAATAAAGGCATTGTGTTGTGTCCATCCACAAAAAAAGAAAGAAAAAAGTATGAGTCATGAAAACTGCCCAGATTTCAAGTCATGAAAACTACCCAGATTTTTAACTCTGTGAAGATGAAAACTGTGGTCTAAATATTATTCATGGCCCACATTTCCCTACAGATATTAATATAAAACTAATGGATTGAGAGACTCCTCACCCTGTCAGAGTGAATCTCTAAATTGTTTGGCATAACCTTCAGATTTTTCCTGGGCTTACCCCATGACTTCTAGTGTAAGAGTTCCAAACATATCATTTCTTATTCGTTTAGTTTGGCAAAAATCCATAAAAGTTTATTATTGACCCTATTCTGAATTTAACTATTCCCTTAAGGCATATTTTAAATGAAATGAGGAACTTGGAAAAATTGTGTTTCCAATACAGTAAGAAAGTAGCAGATCAACTTTTCTAGCCCAGTAACTTCTGATACCTGTGAGCTATTAAGTTCAAAGTCTAAATTAAATAGCTTTGTTTTAGCTTCACTCATCCATCCGTTCACCCATCAATCCATACTCTATCCATCCTGTTCATCTCTGCAGCACTCACTTTGAGGAAGCCTCCGTAATAAAAATGAAAGACCCTATGGCACATGTAATTGAATTAACTACTTTCTTTGAGCTTTCTAGTGTTGTTAAGAAAGTGCCTTTCTCTGGACACACATGCGTGTGGGTACACACACACAGTTTCTTTCTATACCTTTTGTTAGTGGCTATTCACTCTGTGTTAACACAGCTCATCTCATGGTGACATCTATTGTATGGAGATAGTAGGATGTCATAAGAGAGGGCTGATTGTGTGCCTGTCCACCAAAGGTTTCTTCGCTGGTTGGCATTTTGACATCACTATTGCAGACCTTGCCCTCAGCTCTGAAGGCTTAGAAGCATGCCTCTTGTCAGTTTTCCTTGAAGAGAGACTCACTGTAGCTTTGTTCCCAAGAGACTGAAAAGTAAATCAAAAGGCTGGGGTATTAATTACAATGAACAAAATGCAACTGACACATCTGCTATAATACTTGGTGGGTTCTTATCCTACGAGAGAAATCAAATTATAATTCGAAAAGTGTGTGCTGAGCATGAACCAGAGCAAAGGAAATTTGAGTCTCTGTATCTACTGGCATTAGGTTCTGAGAGTCTGATCATCGAAGTCTATGATAGAAATATGTGGTACCTGGGACTGCACAGGCAACCATGGGCCAGATACACACTGCCTGTGCAGACCCCACAGATCCTCATGGCTGGCCCTGCAGCCTACAATGTCTACCTTCTCTCCTTTATCCCTTATCCCCTAGGTACACCAATACCTGGTAAAGTTGTAACTACTTTACACATAAACAACCTGATTTCACCAGAGGCGATACCCTAATTAGTTTGATTGATAGTTACTGTTGGTTCCATCCTTACAAAATGCATTTCTTTCTTTTTTCATTTTTTCTACAAGTTTAAATTGATGCATTATAGCCATACAAAATGGTGAGATTTTTTGTTACATATTCATACACACAATATAATAATAAGATAATATAATTTGGCCAAAATCACTCCCCAGCATTTTACAGGATGCATATCTACAGTTTTATTCTAAGAAGTATTCCATACTTTTAGTTTGAGGAAAAGGATTTCCCTGACTACGGCTTCTGTTTAGTATTCACCCTTCAGATCTTATTGGTTGTTTTTTTTTTTGTTTGTTTTGTTTTTTGGTACCAGGGATTGAACCCAGGGACACTCAATCACTGAGCCACATCCCCAGTCCTTTTTGTATTTTATTTAGAGACAGGGTCTTGCTGAGTTGCTTAGGGCCTCACTAAATTGCTGAGGCTGGCTTTGAACTCTCAATCCTCCTGCCTCAGCCTCCTGACCCCCTGGGATTGCAGGTGTGCACCAGAGTTCGAGACTTCTTGGTTGTTTTCAAGATAATACTTTGAGTTTCTGTTTTCAGCAGAAATCTAAATCTGTCCATACTCTGGATCTGTTCCACTTCCTGCAGCTTCTTCTAGTTGACACCCAGAGCCCTTAAAATCACCAGCCAAAGAGATAAGCATTTATGATCAAACAACATGCACTTCTATAATATACTGATGGCTACAATTGATCCCAAGCATGGCATAATGTACTCGTGGGATAGATAAGATTGCTCTGTTCAAGCCCACGAAGTATCCAAAAGTAGATACGCCACAGGCAATGAAATGATTTAGGTAGATAAATCATAAGCTCCTTCTTATTTCCCTTAGTTCAATGCCTTTAATATGCACGTGACATTCAGGGAGTGAAAGTTTATTTTTAATTTCTCTTTAATTAAAACAAACATTTACTTATTAAACACCTATCGTATGACAGGTTTCATATTAGGCATTAAATGAAGAATTTAGAGAAATAATTTGTTTCTAATATAGCACAAAATTAGTAGATTAACTTTACTAGCTTGACAACTTTGTATTTATGTCTGTGGGTTATTAGATAGGTTATGGAGATAAATACAACATAGTCCCCACCCTCAGAAAGCTTACCATCAGCTGGAAAAGGCAAAATATGCATATATTCCTCTACTACATATTTACTGAGAATTTATTATGTACCAGCCATCTAAAACCTGGGACTGTTTCCCCAGATCCCACTGTGCTGATTCAGCTCTTGCTGTGACCTCTCCCTGAGAGAGCTGAAGAAGTAAGAGCAATTGGGCTAATTACTGAAGCGAGCATCTTGAGGAGACAGATATCAAGGACACAAAAAAGAAGGCAAGAGACCCTGGTGAGATTTTAGGAGAGGGGTGTGGATCATCAGGGATGTAGATAAACATGTTAATAGTAGCGGGAACTGGAAGTTGAGCACAGAGGATCATTGGAAGAGGGTCATTTGTGCCCAACACAATGCTCCTCTAATGGGCAGTTTTGGCCTAGGACTTCCCAGTGACCTGAATGAGAACTCAACTGCAACCAGGCTCTTCCTACTCAGTTCCTTCTTCCACCCCGAGTCAAGGCCTGCACCATGGCTCCAAAGCTCTTCCTGATTATTCCTGCTCCCCTGCCCTTGATCCTCACTGGCATTTCCCTAGATAAACCCTTTGTTTATCTAATTCCACCTTGGTGTCTCCCCAGATGGATACATCTTACAGGGAATGGAAGGATGGAAGGATTCCATGTGAGGCACCATGTGACAGACGGAGCAGGAATGAGCATGGGACCTACAAGGCTAGATGCTGAGAGCTGGAGAATAGGATATTAGAACTTAATAGATCCGAAATTGAGCGCTTTGGGTGAGAGAGTCCAGAGAATGGCCATAATTGCTGAAGGGGAAAGGAAATGAAGGTCAGTGATATTGAACAGGAACTACATGGCAAGAATGCTAGTTGCTTACTCATTATGGATAGAACCCTGCTTTTATTCAGAATAGCAATGGAGCCTGCTAAGAGAATATAATTAGCTTTCTTTGCAGTTAGAGATGAATAAAAACGTGTAAGTAAAAGTCATTGGGTGTGGGGGGGGGTGGGAGTTAAGGAAAAAATTTGAAGTGAAAATCACCAGGAAGTTGTGCTCATCTGCCATTTCTTCTCCTTTCTGCCAATTTAGACCATGAACTATTTTAAGGATGGAATCCAAGGCCAGGATGGTGGAGCAGAAAGACAGGAGTTCCTAATAACATGAAGTCACCATTTTAGCCCTGATCTGCCTTAGCTTCTATACTAGTTTTATATAAGAGATCCCTAAATTATTAAAACTACTTACCTGTATAGTTCATGTATAGTAAAACCAATTCTAACAGAGAGAGATAAGTTGTTTTCACGGACACAAACATCTTCTAGAGGTCAGAGTGGAGAGAAAGTGTGTAAGTAAGATGGCAAAGTGTTTAGCATAAGGGGGAATGTTCTGTAGGCTATGGATGAGAATAACAAGAAGGAGAGAGGAGTTATGTGAATGTGTACGTTAGGGGGGGTCAGTCAAGAGAGAAGAGGGTTTTGAATGAGAGTGGAGAAGTGATGGTGCCATTGGAAGCATCAATGGGAAATGCCAGAAGATATACTTACCTCTTCTCTCTGGCCCCAATGACTGTGGAGCATTGAAGATGAGATTCCTCTACCCTTGAAGGCTGAAATAGAAGTGTTTGTTTCCAATGGGAATCTTGGAAAACAATTGGAATGGACAGAGGAGCTCTATCAAGTGAAAGGGAGCATCAGAGGGAATAGAGTACAAAAGAATATTGAAGTACAAATGTATGAAAAAATGTTCAACATCTCTAGTAATTAGAGAAATGCAAATAACAACTACTCTGAGATTTCATCTCACTCCAGTCAGAGTGGCAGCTACCAAGAATACAAATAACAATAAGTGTTGGCAAGGATGTGGGGGGAAAGGCACACTCATACATTGCTGGAGGGACTGCAAATTGGTGCAGCCAATATGGAATGCAGTATGGAGATTCCTTGGAAAACTTGGAAGGGAACCACCATTTGACCCAGCTATCCCTCTCCTCGGTCTATACCCAAAGGACTTAAAAACAGCATACTTCAGGGACACAGCCACATCAATGTTTATAGCAGCACAATTCATAATAGCTAAATTGTGGAACCAACCCAGATGCCCTTCAGTAGATGAATAGATAGAGAAACTTTTATATATATACACACAATGGAATACTACTCAGCATTAAAAGAGAATAAAATCATGGCATTTGCAGGTAAATTGGTGGAGTTAGAGAATATTATGCTAAGTGAAGTAAACCAATCCCCCCAAAACAAAGGCTGAATGTTTTCTTTGATATGAGGATGCTGACTTATAATGGTGATGGGGGTGGGGAGCATGGGAGGAATAGATGAACTTTGGATAGGACAAAGGGGAGAGAGGGGAAGGGAGGAGGCAAGGGAGTAGGAAAGATGGTGATATGAGTTAGACATCATTACCCTAAGTACATGTATGAAGCAACGAATGGCGTGAAAATACTTTGTGTACAACCAGTGGCTTGAAAAATCGTGCTCTCTATATGTAATTTGAAATGAATTGCATTCTGCCATCATGTATAACAAATTAGAATAAATAAGTAATTTAATAATAATAAAAAAGAATATTGAAGTGAGAAGAGGGAAGAGGCTGCAGCCAGGACTGCAGGGTTGCCTGTGCAAAGATGGGAAGACTGGACAGAAGGCTTGGATGCCACTGTGATGGAGAGCCACCTTAACCGAGCCTCCTGGAGAGTCAGACCCAGGACCTTTGGAAGGCAGAGGGGAGTGGGGAGAGAGTAGCAGGGCCACTTGGGCTAGAGAGGAAGATTTTCTAGAATCTTTCTGCTGTTAAGAGAGAAATTTGTGCAAGGTAGCAAGAATGAGCTCTAGTGACAAATTTGATCCTGACTTGAATATGTGAATCCATATGACTGCTCCATCAGATGTGGGAAACAGGATCCAAGATGAAGAACCTCAGAACCTGAAAGCTGCCTGGGGTTGGAGTGTCTGATAAATAGTATTTGCTTTACTGTGTGGGAATTGGAGATTTTTCTACCTTCTTTGGCATTTTCTTATGATACCCCCCCACATACACACAAATAATCAAAAAGTCAACACAAATTATGCATCTGGAATTGGAGCAAGGGGGATACCGAGTGAGAAACACTGAATTTCATTTATTGCAGAAAGAATCAAGAACTGATATGATAGGAATGAAACACAGTTTTTGAATTTCGAGATTATTCCAGCCATACTTCTCCTTCCCCATCTCCTTTCCTGTCCTAAAAATCTTTCGTGAAAAACAGGATCAAATATTCTGAACCACAAAGAAGATAAGTGATCCTATTAATTATCTGTCTATTTTTTGTAACAGGCCAGAATCCTTGAAATTAGGATGACCCAAGAAAATACAGTCTGCATATTTGGATTCCCTGTGACATATTCTTTTTGTAAACTAAATTAATTTTGCTTTTAGGATTTTTGTGGCAGTCATTCCATTTTGGAAGAGTGAGAAAACATGTGGAGTGTTGCAGAAGTAAAAGAAAGAATTACGAACCTAGATATTTCCCAAAAGTGCATTAGACATCCCATGTCCCAATCTAAGCAACTGAGAATCATCCTCCACTTCTTCATCTTCTCCTCTTCATTACATAGATCAGGTTGGGGAGGCTGAATAGCCCCACTTGCAGCTAACAAATCTGAACTCTAGAGTTAATGAATAGACTTCAAACTTTTCTGGTACTGTTTTTGTCTTTAATGACTTTGGACGTTTTCTTCCTATCGATTAGGATTAAATGTGTTTTCCTAAGGTCCTATTGAAAAAATCCAGAGCCTTGGGCTTCTTGTTACTGTCACTTCTTGTTCCCCACAGTCCAGCAGCTTCTCAACTCTCGCCAACCTTTACCTGTTTTCCTAGAATCCCTTCCACAGGCCCGGGTGGGCCAGGGCATGAGTACTAGATGATGCCACAGGATCTGTGGTCTCTGAGTTCCATTTCTTTGTTGGGTATGATCATGGGCAGAGCAGCTCTGGAGGGATCCAGGGACTTTTCCCTCCCCAATTCAATATGTTATCTCTTGTAAAATTTTATTAAATGAATATCAAAGTGCATCAGTCATGGGCCTGACAGAGAGAGACAGTGAGTGGAGTTTAGTAAGGCCAGGTGCTAATTGGTGTCACCAGGAAGCAGATGCCAGAATTGGAGTTAGAAACATGACTGATTTACCTGGGGGAAGGCTTGAGGAGAGTAAAAAATGGAGAGGAGGCAGGAAAGCCTTCAGTCTCTTGTGCAGATCTGATACCTGTGAAAGAAAAGAGGAGAGGAAGCAGGATTGAGAACAAGAGCTCAGACCCAATAGAGTCTTAGCCTGCACCATGGGGAGATGGAACTAAAAACTGCCAGTTAGAGGAGTCCTCGAAATGGCCAGGCAAGAGTGGACAAAACACAGCAACAAAAATCATAAAACTGATCTTGAAGGTTGAAGGTGGTGAGTGAACTGCAGCCTTACAGATGAATGACAGGCTTCTTTTTGAAAGAAGAATCAAGAGGTATCCCTGTGCAGTTGTGCCTGGGGCTACTCACAGGCACTTGGGTAGGGTGGAAAGCAACCCCAGCTGGTCAGAGAAAGGCCATCTCCCCAGTAGCCCAAGGGACAGAGAGGCAGGATAGCAAGTGACTGTTGAGGGATAGGCCAGCTTTGGGGAGGGAAGAGGGCACAAACCCCCACACCTTACTTTCCTCCCTCCACCCACCTTTGTTCCCACCAGCCCATTGGTACCATGCACGGTGCTCAGCCTTTCTGGGCAGTGAGCCAAGTAGAGGGAAACCAAACACCGCCATCAGGCAGGACAGCCACTAAGGGAGAGACATGCAGCTGGGAGAAGGCGCGGGGCAGGAAAGGATGTTTCTTTGCCCTGCTGGGCTTCCCCAGATGTCAGCATCCCAGAGTCATGGCTGGGCTTCTAGAGATTGCTCTCCACCCACTGAGCAGCTCCTCTTGCCAAGGTAAGGGGCTCAGGAACAAGCAACATAGAATATTGGAGGTGACTACGGGAAGAGGGCAGGGGAGGAAGTGAGATAGGAAAGGGGCAAGGGAGACAAAATTAAGAGGAGGAAGTGGAGAGGGGAGAGGGGAGAGGAAGGGAGAATGGAGACACCTAGAAACAGGGCTCACTCAGAACTGCCCAGGCACCGTGCGTGGTTATACTTTCCTATATCAGAGGGTGAGAGGTGATAAGAGGACCAGAATCTGAAGCCAGTGACTCTCACCAGATGAGCCATGTACCTGTCTGTGCAGTCTAGGTGTTCCTCATCTGCCTGTCTTTCGGAGATCTTGGTCTGGTCGCTGTCCCCTGAAGCCATCGGCACTCTGCCCCCTCACCCTGGGGCATATCACTTCTTTCAGAGGGTTCCCCTCCCTCTCAGCTCGCTTTCTCCAGCTTCTGGAGGTGTTTATCTTGTGATGCTATTTCACAGGCATCCAGAGCCACAGGAAACATTAGTTCTACTGCGGAAGAGTGGACAGCGCTGGGCCAATTACTTCTGGCAGCAGTTAAGATAATTTTTTAATGATACAAACAGACCTCGGCCAGTGGTGTGCAAAACAGGCCTGCTGGAGCCTAACCTGGAGCTCACAGAGGGTTTCTTAACTTAGTTTGATTGAGTGAGACATTTGATTTGGGCTTCTATTAAGGGGAATAATGTATTAAATTGTTGTGTTGATGCTTGGCCTATTTTCAGTGAGAGAATGTAACTCTCTTTGTCTGTAACATTGACCATATCTCTATCCCACCACCTATTTTATAAGTCCAGGGCCAATTTCTTAAATGAAGCCTTAGGACTTATAAAGTCACTGATTTTTCTACAACACTTGTACAAATTATTATCAAAAAATATACAAATAATGTGATTGTATTCAGACAGTGAGGGGGGAGATGAGGAAGTTTAATTCATTTTCATGTAAATTTGCTTTCTTCTTAAGGGTTAGGATGACACCCATTTCCCCCGACATCCTTAGATCTAAGCCTCTGCCACGAGAGGAGCTAAGTAAATTCTTGTTGATGGTTAAGAAGAAAGGCAAGGTGTTCCCTAGTACTGTTTTTTGTGGGGAAGTTGACATGGTGCTGGTTCTGTAAGGCAGCCCTCTCCAGGGAGTCACCACCTCACATCTGGGGAAAAGTAATATAACGCAAGATGCAGAGAAAGACCCAGCTGAGCTGTCACTTCAAAGGGTGGAACAAGTTGGGGTGCATTGTTTGCTTTTGCTTTCCCATAGTGTTGCCTGGCATTTGGACACTTCTATATTGTAATTTTAGTCTATGAAACAGTACAGGGAAGTCCAAAAAATATCTTCTCATTTCTAGGCCTGTATGCATTTGCTAACAGCTGCGGTAACATATACCACAGACTGGGAGACTAAAACAGCAGGAATTTAGCTTTTTTTGATTCTAGAGGCTGGAGATCAGAGCTGGTTTCTGAGGCCGCTCTTGTTGGCTTACAGATGGCATCTTCTCCCTGTGACTCACACAGGCTTCCCTCCTTGTCTGGGTCTCAATCTTCCCTTAGTCTGGGTCTCAATCTTCCAATAGTCAGATTGGATTAGAGCTGCTTTTGTGACCTCATTACCTTTTTAAAGGCCTTATCTCCCAATCAAGTCACATTGAAGGACTAGGGGTTAGGATTTCAGCACAAGAATTTAGGGGAACAAAATTCAACCTATAATACTGTCCTTGCCTGTTTCGCTTTAGCATAGTCTCATTCTTGAGGCTTAGTGGGTCACCTGTCTGGGGCGAAGGGCAGCCTTTTTATCCTGATCATTTCCACGTGGCCCTGTGATGCACAGGCCCGAGAGTTAGGTGTGCCCTGAATTTTCCAGCACTTGTGCTTCTTAAAAGTTGTGTGAAGACATTTATAAGTTGAGGCATGCTTTCATCGTGAAAGCAAATTTGCAATAATCACTTCTGTATGATCAAGAATATCTTCTAATTTATTGACTTTTGTAAGTTTGGATATCTAGGGCAACAATTTTCTAAAAGCAGGGCCTACCTGTTCTCATAAACAGTAAAACCTCAACAAAAATGTTCCAAGGTCCTGCTGTGTGGTTGTCTGTCTCCTGAAAATTCAGGATACAACTGTACATAAGACAAGCATGAGGCCCTGCCTGCCTGGGGTTTTGCATCAAATTAGGAAACAAAAGATTAGACACAGCAATGATAAATCGATGAATTGAGTGTCCTTCTGCATCTCTGAGTTGCATCCAGGCACTCTGTGTCTGCCCAGGACATATTTAGTGAATACTCCCTCTTCCAAGGTCCCATGGTGTGGGCTGAGAAAACACTAGTGAGACCCTCATGGTCCACATGGCCCTTAAATGTGATTGTATGACAGAATGCTTGCCTAGCATGCACAAGGCCCAGCACTGCCCTGCGTCGCCCTACACAAAAAGTGAGGTGTGAATTCACAGCATATTGTTTCATAGATGCAGCCCAAACTAGCTATAGTTAAGAAAAATATCTTTCTGATAAAATTTTTCTCCTTCCCTCCTTCCTTCCTGTCTTCTTTCCTTCCTTCCTTTGTTATTATTTTGTCTCAAAGTAGTGTGCTAAGCAAAATTTCAGAAATTTGTGGTGTTGTTTGCAGACTGGTTTGCTAGGGTTCTACAGTACATTTGATTTCCTTTTTGAGGCAAAAGAAATGCTCAAAATGTGTTGCAATTAGTGGCCTAGAAGTCATAACAAAGGATGTTTTTCTCATTTAGAAATAACCCTAAGTGTGGTATATCCATAAGCCACCAACATTTGTCTATTTAGAGCTAAAAGCCAAGTGAGATAGGAGGTAGCAAAAAAAAAAAAAAAAAGGATAAATATGCATATGTTCAAAAGAGTAATTGCATTTTTGCACCTGTTTAAGATATGCTAATTTCCCTTTCTCCTTTCTGTTTGGCATTACTAAATTTAAAGCACATGGGGAAATAACTGAGGTTACAACAGAAGACATTGTATCAATCAGATTAACCAAGGCAAGTTTGTTATGGAGGTTTTAATTATCTCTGAGCTGTGTGGGCCCTCAGGCGATTTCTAACATAGAGGGTGGAACTTTGGTAGCCAAATCATTATGGCACGTGATGGTGACTGATGATGCAAGTTATTATTTCCCAGCATTAAAATGTTGCAACTTCCTGGACACAGAAATGCTCATTATTAAGGACATCTTTTAGATGAAAACGTAAAAAAAACAATTTTAAAACAATAGGAAGCCAAAAAAAAAAAAAAAGCTACAGTGTTTATAAGTATCTAGCCATCAAATGACATGCTGGAAATATCAAGCAGCTAAGCAGCTTCATGAGGATATCTCTACCAACAGCTCATTAGTAAAGACAGACTTCAAAATAGGGCCAGTTTGTGGAACAGTGCTCTGACTTCAAGTCTTTTTTGTTTGTTTGTTTGTTTTTTATTTTATAGGGATACGAAACTAGGCTAGTTTTATAGGGATACAAAGCTAGGCTAGTTTCTGGCCAAGTCTTTTGCTTGGATAAAGCAGAATCTAAGCTTGTTTGCTGTGATGGTTGTTTGGTTGTCAACCTGACCAGATTGAAGGAAAATTAGTACCGAGAAGTGGAGTGGTCTGCTGTTTTCCTATAACTGACAATGTGGAAGAGGTTTTGAATTGAGTTACAGAAGAAATTTGGAGAAGTTTGGAGAAGAGCCCATTCAGTGTGCAGCCTTCCTGCCCATTGCCCCACTGAACCTCCATTACCCCCCTATATGAAAGTCCTTTTGTGTACCTGAGTCCCCCAAAATGGTCTTTTCTGGAGGAATGATAGCTCCCTCATTGTCTCAAGATTTCAGCCCTTGAATCAACTAGATTTCCTTCCCATCAACTCTTGTCTTCTGAGTATTGGCTTTTGGGCAGTGAGTGGACAAGCTTAAGACTGATAATAAGTCCAGAAGACTGATGGGAATGTGGACAGTAAAGGTCATGCTGATGAGGTTTCAGTTGAAAAAGAATTCTATTGGAAATTGGACTAGAGGCCAACATTGTTAAACTGTGGCGAGGAATTTTCCTACATTTTGTCCATGCCCTGAGATTTTATGGAAGGCTGAGCTTAAAGGTGACAGAATAATTTATTCAGCAGAAGGGAATTTCAAAGCAGCACAGCATTCAGGCTGTGACATGAGTATTACAGGCTGCTTTGTAGTCAAAGTTACAGTGAGAACCAGAAAGAAAAAGGAGCAGAACAGATGTATTAGAAATATTTTGCAGGAAAGAAGAAAAGAAGTACATATAAGGTTCATATATATTTATATACATACATACACACACACACACACATATACATATATACTTCAGAAAAAAAGCACATATGAGTTTTTGATCCAGGAGGGTGTGGTTAAAAAGTAAAGTTCTTCGCACAAGAACAATAGGAAAGATGCTTCGAGGGCATCTCAAGTATGGACAAGACTATCGCCATCACAGACTCAGAGCTATAGAATGCAAATTTGTTTCAAAGACTTTTCCAAGGCCAATTCTTTTGAGAAACTAGCTCAGGACAGACATCCTGTTAATCCGAAAGCACACAGGAGTTATTTCCCTGTGTCCAGCTGACTCTTATAGTGCTGGTTTTGCAGGCATGCCCAAGTCAAGAGTTATGGGATCATGGAGGCTTCTATCAAGATTTCAAAGGAGAGCCCAGGAGGCTAGGCTGTGCCCTGCTCTGAATCACCCTTTGATGTATAGAACAGGGGTTTTCAGGCTGTGCCTAAGCCTGAGTTACTCCATTTTGTAAGCAGTAATTTGCCATGAGCTACTCCATTTTGAGTCCAAGTGCCAAGATAGAATGACTCCACACTTTGCACAAGGAAACAGCCACCATCTGCCTGGCACCATCAGAAGGCACGAATTGATAAACCACTTGTATGTGCCAACTTTTCAAACTGAATCAAGGAGTATCTGGACACGTGGACATCCCAAATCATGTCAAGAACACCAGACATGGAAACCTCTCAAACTCGCCAGATGAGAACCCTACACTCGAGACACATAAAAGGAAGGATGACAGACTCAGTAAAAGGAGTCTGGACATGGTAACACCTTGACCTCGTCACCTGGTCACTCATCACAGTCCTTGCCCAGGAACAAACCTCTGAATTTCCTGTCCCTATAGAGCTTCATCATAGTGTGGGTCCTCATGCCTGTTATGACCACACACAACCCACTCGAAGCGGAAAGCTCAGCTGACACTCTGAGACTGAAGCTGCCATCTGTCCAGACCTTCTGCTTGGACAACTCTGTGGAACTGGTTTGTTAAAATCCTTATCTGGCCACCCACGGTGACTCTTTGACTCGGCCTTCATGTGTCTCTTTGCCTGTGCTCCTGGCACAGTATTCTGTGACCCTGTAGC